CCCCCCCGTCTTGCCCTGCTACCTCTCCCTTCACCCCTCCTCCCCTCTTGTCTTATCTCGATTTCATTACCCCTATTAGCCAGATTGGCTGCTTAGAAATTTACCCCCAGCTCCTTTCGCTATCCTTTATTCTGCCCCCGGCTATGCCCTCTCCCTTCTCTTCCGCCCTCTCCGTCTTTTTTGCCCCCCTCCGTCTCTTTTTCTCTTCCTTTCTCTGTCTCTCTCTCACTTTCTTTTCCTTTCTTCCCCCTTTCCCCCCATCATCATATAGCTGGCTCGTCTCTTCGACTACGCTACACCTCTGGTATGCAAAAATATTTTAATTTTCGTTTATTGTGCACGGCGTAAGGCCCTCTGGCCCAGCCAGAGGTTTCGCTCTCTCTCCCACTTGCTCCACCTCTCTCGCCCAGCCGCGGCCGTCCTTCCCTCTATCCTTCTCCGTCCCTCTCCCTCTCAGTCGCCACCACCCGCTCGCCCTGCTGGCCCCGGAAGCGATTAGTGGGATCCAAGATGACTCGGTGGTTCGTCTGCAGATGGGGCTGGCGCCGCCGCCCGGCCGGACCATCTGTCGCGGTGTGTCCATCCGCAGATGGCGCCGCTCATCAATTATTATTTGACCCAATTTTCGATTATCGGCGCTGATCACACGGCGCGTCCGACTCCCCACCCCTTTCCCACTCCCTCCCTTCTGCCCGGTCTTGGTCCAAAGGGCTCATCGCCGACCTCGACTACTTTCTATTCAAATCGCTCCTCCATTAAGCAGCTCAAGAGCGTCCTGGCAGCAGTCTTTAACCACTCACTCTGTCTCTCATTCGTCTGAAAAAAATAATGTAACAGAAATTTCCGCATGTGGCGGTATAATGGGTGAGTTGCCTTATTTCCGTGTCTCAAGAGGGTGTCCTCATCCGCGACAGTAAAAGGCTCGTGAAAGGCACACACCCAGAAGAGCGTAACTTTTACTTAACGAAATCACGAACTGACGATATTTTCGTCGATTAGAAGAAAAAATTCTTTAACTCAAACAACTTTCGTTCTGTGAAAGAAATGTTTTCGTTGTATGAACGAAAAAGTTTTCTTTGGTTTCTGGCACGAAATTTTCGTTGAAATAAATAAAATTTCTTTAATTCAAAGTAACGGTTTTCTGGGTGCACCGGCCCAGCCCGCACGCCTGTAGATACACACAATCAATTTAAAAAATCTGTCCCGTGATTCGGCTAGGCAATTTTCTCACCCAATCAAAAATTAATATTATTTATAGCTGTAAAGTGGCATCACCCACACGGTTGGTAAATTGGTGTGGTCTGGGTATTACTGGGCAGCTTAAAGAAATTGCTCAGTTAAAAACAAGGTTGGCAAACAGATTCGCAGATGTTTTTATGTCTCCAATGCCTAACTTCTTAGCTAAGCAGCTCGATCATTTTTTTCTGCGTGGGCAGCTATCAACTATTTGTTATTCCTCGGACCACCGATAAGAACAATTTGACCAGAATTCGAAATTTCGTGAGAAGACTATTAACAACTGGAATCTTTGCGAATTGGAAACATGATACTCTTACAGCTAAGGTGCAGACATATGACAAATTGATGATTTACGAATTGCTCGATCAATTGGACGAGAATCATGAATATCATTTATTATGCAGAGACTTTGTTTCAGCAGTTTTTATTATTGTTTTTCCAGTGCCAAATTTCGACCTCCACTGCCCCCCACGAATGCCTTCCCTTACAACCCCATCACTCTACCACTTCCCTTTTCCTCCCTTCTTTCTCGCTGGCCTCATTCATTTTGGACCGCTTGTCAGCACGAGGCGTTTCATCCGACTTTTGCATGAGTTTTTGCCGACTAGTGTGACATTGGGGACAGAGTCTTGAGCGAGCTTTCGCGGCCAGAGTCATCCTGGCTGTCGCCGCAAGAAGAAATGTGCCTTTTATTTCTCTTGTCAGGGCCTCTCTCTGTGTCTCCTTTTTTTTCCTCCCCCTTCTATCCCTTTCAGCCCTTCTTTTTATTTCCACCCCCACATTTGTTCGTGCATTTTTCCTCTCATTATGCCTCCCCCGCTCGCTTTGTCAGATTGTTGCCAGTCGGGTGATTGCATTAATGTTGTACACGGCCATATCCCGGTGATGCATTGACTCTTAAAGACCGTTTAGCGGACGCTTTTATAACCGGTGGCGGGGCGTGGTGGTTGCTACGATAGCAGGGGCCATTGCCTGCCTTCTTTCTCCTCTGCTCTCACTAGAGGAGCCTTTCGCCGTTGTTCACTCCGTCTCCCTTTTGCTCCCCTTGCCGCCGCCGCCGCCAAATAACTTTCCACGGCAAAATCTCTCGAATTGTTTGGTCCGACTTTGACGGACCGTGCGGGGCGTCGGAAATTTTGTTTTGCTTCCGCAAACATTGGCGCAAACTCGTTTGTCCGCTCGCACAATGGCTTCTGGTGGCACCGGCAGGGACATGAATAATTAGAACGTGAGAAAAGGATTTATAGGATTAGCAGCAAAGTTAGCACTGGCTTTCAGCGTCAGCCGCGCGTCAGCGACGTCCGCGCGACACCGCCCAGGCTTTACACATTGAAAGCACTTCTCGCGGGCGCCCGTCCCGTCCGCTTCGCAAAGTGTATAGTGACAACTGGGCGCACAATGGTGCATGCAAAAGTATAAATGCGAACTTGTTAAATGGAGTTGAGTTGACCGATTTTATTAGAGGATTTCATATCGAAATCAAATACCCTAATTACGTATCTAAGAGTGCCCGCGACGCCGATTATTTTTCATCAGTATGTTGGCCTACATTATTATGCAATTCCACGAATGTCTAACAATAGTTCACGCAACTTTTACTCGCACCACTTGTGGGAAGATGGCATGCCATACTTTGTTGGTTTTTTGTCCGAACACCACGCAAATAAGGGGCCGGCAAGCGGACAGTGAGCTGCATCGTGCTTAAGCAGCAAGGGGCTCCGCCTGCTCCGCCTGCTCCGCCGCTGCTCCGGCCCCTCCTCCCTCAGTCAGCAGGATGGTCGCGACCTCTGCCTCGCCCCCGCCCGCACCCCGCCCGCGTCGCACACCGTAGCTATTCCACTCGAAGCTAAATTCCCTGTGTTTATATTTGCAATTTGCCACCCCCTCCCCCCCTTCTCCTCTGGCTGCTGATTTCGCTTCGCCTTCCGCGAGCGCGTCTCCTTTTTCTCTGTCTGGGCCTCCCTTCTCCTCCCGTCCTCCTCCGTCCCCGCCCCGTACCTTTTATTTCTCTGCACGTTTCTCGGTGCTCAGCAGCCTGCCTGCCCCCTCTCCCCCCTCCTCTCCTCCCCGGAGCGGTGTGACGAGCCGGCAAGCTGGGCGCGCCGCCGCGGGGCGGGGCAAGAGTGCGCGGCCCCCCGATGTCCCATAATGAATTCCGCCGATAAAACGACTCAACTTTTTCTATTAATTGGCCGACCCTGCCAGCGGGACTTCGAGACGCCGCCGCCGCGCCCTGCTACCCCGCGCCGGCACCCCGAGCCCGTTCTATAGGGCTTCACTTTCGCTCCGACAATTTTTGCATACTAAGTGTTTTGGGCGACAGTGATGTAAAACTTTGGATCGCCAAGTTTGGCCCCCGCTGCCGCGCGCCCCTGCTCCGCTGGGGATAGATATATATGTATACCGACTTGCGAGTTTTATTTTCGATTTTCTTTCTTCCTTACTTTTATTCTCTGTCTTCCTCTCTCTTGTGCTTTTCAATGCCTTTCCTCATCTCTCTCTTGCTCTCTATTTTCGATGAAATGCACACACGGTGCCGAACTACACTCAAGTGAACTCTGTGTGCGGTGGTGGAGCGGCATCGAGGGGGTTTTCACCTGCGTAATACAGTGTACACCAAAACTAGGTATTACGCGTAATGTAATACCGAAAAATAGGAAAATATGCCCTAAAATGGTAGAATTTGGGTTGCAAAGCTTGTGTAAAACTGGCGTAATACCGCGTAATACACGTAATATGTAATACACTGTACACGAAAATTCCGAGTGAAAACCCCCTCGAGCGGCATGCAAAGGAAAACTGCAACAGGGGTGCGAGAGACTTTTGCGTAAAAGTCCCCCCCCCCCAAACACACACATACACATACACCACACGCACCCACACACATAGATGCACTACCAACGTACAGTTTCCGCCCGCCACCCGAACCTTCGCTGCTTGCCTGCTTGCCTGCCCAAGGATGTAAAGAACATGCCGTCCGAGCAGCATCTGAGCCATTCCCACTTTCAGAAATGAAATTACGAAATATGAGTACGCGCGCAGAACGGAACGAATGGTCCCGGTCCCGCCGTGCTGCGTCCGGAATGGCAAACATGCAACACACCGCGCAGCCTCGGCG